TTAGTGTTGGTTAGTCAGCATCGTGTGTGTGCGGGTTAGTGTTGGTTAGTCAACATCGTGTGTGCGGGTAGGTGTTGGTTAGTCAGCATCGTGTGTGCGGGTTAGTGTTAGTTAGTCAGCATCGTGTGTGCGGGTTAGTGTTGGTTAGTCAGCATCGTGTGTGTGGGTTAGTGTTGGTTAGTCAGCATCGTGTGGGCGGGTTAGTGTTGGTTAGTCAGCATCGTGTGTGTACAGGTTAGTGTTGGTTAGTCAACATCGTGTGTGCGGGTTAGTGTTGGTTAGTCAACATCATGTGTGCGGGTTAGTGTTGGTTAGTCAACATCATGTGTGTGGGTTAGTGTTGGTTAGTCAACATCGTGTGTGTGCGGGTTAGTGTTGGTTAGTCAGCATCGTGTGTGCGGGTTAGTGTTGGTTAGTCAACATCGTGTGTGTGTGGGTTAGTGTTGGTTAGTCAGCATCGTGTGTGTGTGGGTTAGTGTTGGTTAGTCAGCATCGTGTGTGTGTGGGTTAGTGTTGGTTAGTCAGCATCATGTGTGCGGATTAGTGTTGGTTAGTCAGCATCGTGTGTGTGCGGGTTAGTGTTGGTTAGTCAGCATCGTGTGTGCAGGTTAGTGTTGGTTAGTCAACATTGTGTGTGGGGGTTAGTGTTGGTTAGTCAACATCGTATGTGCGGGTTAGTTTTGGTTCATCAGCCCTGGGATACTTGGGGTGCGTCTCCCCACTGACTTCTACAGCTGAGGAGCCAGGCTGTCTTCTGCCTGGAGTCCTCATACCTCAGGTTTGAGACACGCATAGCAGAGGTCTTCTCAGATACCAGCAGTGTTTGCTTAAACTTCGATGAAACACGTGTTTCCTGAGCACCTTCTCTGCTCAAGAACAAGCATGTCGAGCGCTGGTGAGGCTGAGGAGATGGGTAGGATCTATCCAGACCCCTTCAGCATGGAGCCTCATAGGGGGTTTGAATACGTGTCCCATGGAAGGCAGGCCAGGATGAGTACCTGCCCTCCTGAGAGGTCCAGACCACCAGTAAATACAGGAAGTAGAGGTCAGAGGTCAGAAAGGCTGTCAGGACCAGATGGGCCTAGAAGTGAGGTGAGGGAAGGAGGTGGGGGCCTTGGGGTCAGAAGAGTCCAAAGTGAAGAACAGAAGGATATAGAAATGGAAGCACGGGTCCCTTAGACCGGAATGTTGACTTAGTATAACAGGGGAAGGTGAGGCGGACCTAGAGTGTCCAGCCAAGCTCGTTGGGGGAGGGGGAGTCCTACGGTGGCCAGGAGGGGGCATGTGGAACCAAGGGCAGACTTGGGAGCCAGTGCCCTCCACCCAGGAGCAGCCCCAGTCTGGAATCCCCTCCAGTAAGCAGTCACATACAGAACCCCTGGGCAGACTCCTCAGCAGAGCTGTCATTTTGAAACCTGTACTCGAAACACAGCCGAGAAAACAAAAACTGCTGCTCCTTCAGATATACGCGTGGTTGGCCGAGGGTCCCTGGGCACGTTCACCATTGTTCTTTTCCTTCCCCCAGAACAACCCCAGCAACAAACTGGTGAGTGCCAGCAACACGGTCACCGCGGCCCACATCAAGAAGTTCACCTTCGTCTGCATGGCCTTGTCTTTGACGGTAAGGAAACAGGGAGCCTGCGGCACAGTGTTCCCAAATGTGATGTAATCGCAGATTCATCAACCTCCTCCTCTTAACAGCTCCTTCCCAAAATAGGAGCAGTTATTGTTCCAGGAGGTCTGTGAGTCAGGTAATAAGGCCTCAACTTCAGGCCTGTTTTCAGCTTAAACGAAGATAAGGGCAGAATGACTGTTTGATCCATCATCGTGTGTTGCTGAAAAATTCCCAGCCTGTTTCAAACATCCACAGTCTATAACCAGCCCCGTCCCTTTCCAAGTATGGTGTTTTTTCCCCTGTGAAAATGTCCCTTTCTTTGTTACATGCATGTAGATGCATCCACTCAGCTAGCCTTCAAAAGATGCTTGCCAAGTCCCAGGTTCCCGGTTTTGTGCTGTCTGGTGAGGATACAGCTGGGAATAAAACGGGAGGGCAGGCTCTGGGTGCACCTGTGATAACCCACACCCACCCTTCCTTAATTACCCACCCTGACTGATGTGCTGGACTTCGAGGTCAGTTTGAACTGAAAAGTCAGTGGTTCAAACTCACCAGTGGCTCCTCGAGTCACTATGAGTCGGAACCTCTTCAAAGGCACTTAACAACAACAATGGGCAACTCCTATGTATAGGGTAATGCTTAGAAAGCATGGGGTAAATATTTACACGGGCTATAATCCAAAGTGCATGGTACGTTGTTAGGACTTGCTTATAACATTTATTGACAGTTAAGCAAAACACGTATTCATACCAAACAGGTGCCATCCACGTGTCTGAGTAGACCTGTGCTCCATTGGGTGGTTTTTCAGAAGTAGATTATCAGGTCTTTCTTCCAGGTGTCTCTTGGTGGACTTAAACCTGTGGTTTTTCGGTTAGCAGAGAGTGAATTTTACAAGTTGACACCACTCGGGCACCCTCCTCTGGAGTTTGAAGATGAGAACGAGATAGATCCAGTTCAGTTCTTTGTTGCTGTGATTACACCTTCCCTCTTGCATCCCATGGAAAATCTCCATCCGTGTGAGATGGTGTCAGTGTGTTACAGAAATGTCTGGGCAGGTGCATTCTCCGCATCAGTAAGTAGCAGAACACCTTGAGGCAGTGACAGGTGTGGGCTGTGCTGATAACAGGAGCGCTTGAACATCCTGCCCGTCTTGCCATCTTTCAGAAGAACCGTTTTGCTTGGTGAGCGTTGTCCATGATCCTATAAAATCAAGCCATACACATAGCACAGCAGAATAATGCACTGGAACACAAGGTCAGCTTGAGCCACAACTTTGGCAGTTCAAATCCACCAGCCACTCCTCGGAAGTCCTGAGTCGGAACCGACTCGACAGCACTTCACAGCAGTAACAACAATAACACACTTTTTAAACCTCTGAGGATGCTTCCAAAGCTTATCACTTGATGAGTTGATTCTCCCCCCCACCCGCCCCATAGAAGTTGTAAAAAAGGTGACAGGAGACAATAGTTTGTATGTAACAGAACACAGGCAAGGCCTCTGGGTCGTGACTCTGCCCTCAGCCACTCCCACCCCCAGCACAGCCCCTCCTCCAAGGGGTAGCATCTAGCATCTTCCAGAGCCCCCTCAGCCTGGAGACATCTGATAACCACTGTGTGAGCCAGGTCTGGCTCCCCAGGCAACCCCACTTCCTGTTTGCAGTGCTCCCTTCCCTCCGTGCCGTGTTAAGTTTTTCCATCACTGAGCAACCAACATGAAACCGTTGAAGCATATTTTAGGAACCGCTGAGATGGTTGCTATTTCAGGAACAGACCCCAGACCTTGGAGGCTGTACCTAATGCCTGGAGGCTGAGGTGACTCTTGGCTGTCCACGTAGAAAGCTGGCGCCGGTGGGTGTCACTCACTCTGCGCTTCACACGTTGTCCCTCTGTCTGTCTCCCGCTGGACTCCATGGCTCCCCACAGTGAGAGTTGAGTCTAGGCATCCTTAAGTTTAACAGAACCTTTCAGCACTGGGTGTAAGGAGGGTCCTTCTCTTCTTCACTTTTCTGGCAATAATTTATACCTCTGAAAAGTTATTCTGCAACAAGCTTATTTGGGAATGGTAACTGCTTAAAATCTGAGAAATGGCCTTGATTGCACATGCCGAGATTTTATTTAATGAACAATTCTAATCCCGGATCAAAAACCATCTCTAACTAGAAGTGTCTCAGGGCGGATTTTCACCACAGAGACTCAGAATTCTCTACTGGAAATGGGAGATGAACTGGCCAAAACCCATTTATTTAATTTTGTTTTTTAGAAAAGGAAGTGACTTAACAAGGGTATAAGACTTACTCCAATAATAGAACCAGCTAGAATCCTGGTTCTACTATTGGATCAAATTTTATACTCTTGTTAAGTCATTTCCTTTTGTCCAGGAGTATGCTGTCCAGTGCATACTCCTGGACGCATTTGTGGTGCCTTTTGTTCTGGGCCACACTGTTTCCAGAAAGTCGGGACCAATACATGGTACTTGTGTCCCAGAATGGTGGAAATAGTGGATTCTTAAAAATATTAAAAGCAGTGGTATTTGAATTTACAGTTTAGGGGAGTAAGTCACATGTTATTTTTTAATGATGATGCAATCAACATCCTGGTTAAAGTAGTTCTTATTCAAAGAAGGCTAGAAAAAGTTTCAGGGATTCTCCTCAAAATTAGAATGTGAAACATTTCCTAGTAATGCGTTGTCACTCGTTGCCGAGGAGCCTCCTACTCGGTGTCCTTGTTTAAGGTTTTTATTGTGGATTGAGTGAAAGTTTACAGGACAGATCATCAGCTGTACATGCAACATATCGTACATTTTGTTTCATTACAATGATTATAATCCCCTCCATCTACCATCAGTTAACAGTATTTCTTTCTATTCATTTAGCTCTTTTTTTCAAAAAAATAAAAAACACTCAGGCATATATAATAATTTATACCACCAAAGGGCACTTTCTGCAAGCCTGCCTCCTGGCCACCATCTCTTAGTCCCTCTCTTCCCATGAATCTAGAGTCCTCAGCTTCTCCCTCTCTCTGTGACCCCATCTCTGCCTCTATAGCTGGTATCACTGTTTCTCTGGATAAGGTCTCACATTCTGCTTGTGCTCTTCTCCCTTGATGGTCCTAGGGTCCTCTGTTTCTGGACTGTAAGATGAACTACTCCCCCATTTTTGTTACAAAACTTCTACCTTTACAATTGTGACCGTTGCAATTAGTCATGATAACAATTACTCACTATTGAATCATAAGAATCGTATCCCCATCTCTTTTCACCAGACCCATCTAGACAAGATGAAAACTATTCAGTGGAAACTCTTTCTTCCCCCACACACTCTTAAACTCCCCCTTGAAATCTTATTACTATCTGTAACTTTGGGTGTTCTTGTGCGCCTCCTCTCACTCCACATCAGCTGGATGCTTCACTCTCAGCTCTAACCCTCTGTGGCTATGTCCTTGTAAGACAGATGTGTTCGTTCTCTGGCCACCCCGGTATATTCAGATACTCTTTGTTACACCACAGTTTGAATACTAAATGCATTATGTGTATTTGAAGTCCAGGTGTGGCCCTACAGGATAAGCTTTGTTGTTTGTTATTGTTAAGTACCATCTAGTCGATTCCCACCCATAGCGACCCTGCATAGGGTTTCTGAGGAGCAGCTGGTAAACTTGAACGGACTCCCAGACGCAGTTGAGCTCATTAACCCTCAGCGCCACACCAGGACTCCACCAAATTGCCTTCGACTCATAGCGACCCTATGCACAACCAACGGGAACACTGCAGGTCCTGCACCATTGCTCCTGTTACATACAATAAGCACATGACTGCTCATCACAAGGAAGTGGTTGAGACCCACCAGCCACTCCTTGGAAACCCTGTACAGGGTCACTGTGGTTTGGAACCGACTCCCTTCCCTCCCTGTTCTGGAGGTTGTAGGGAGTGGATCACTTCACCGGGGAGAGAGTAGAACTGCTCCAGAGTTTGTCCTTCTACACTGGAGCACACACCTCATCTTTCTACCAAGGACCGGCGGGTGGGTTCAAACTGCTGACCTTGCAGTTAGCAGCCCATGCGCTACACTAGCGCACCTTTTCTCATAGTTAGGGTTAACCTGTTTATTTGATGATTTACCTAAAATCTATTCTTTAGAATTCACAGCTAATCAAATTAAATGGGGATGTGTTCAACAACTTTCGGTGGCTTGACCTGACCAAATATCATTTTGATTCTTCAGTGGTATTCTAACAGGATTTCATTTCTTCTCCAGCTCCCTGTTGCTTTGGTTTTGGGGAACTGGTGCCAAGGGAGATGGAGAAGGTCCAAGCAAGCACAGGCTTAGCTGTCTCCTTTGTTTAAAGTAGAAATGGGCATCTGTCCAGATACCTCCACAGTCATACCCAGCCCCTGACCCCAAACCTGGATGCGGAGCTCTGGGAAGTCAGGGAGGGGGCATGGAGAGTAAGGGTCCAGGAAAGAGAGTGGCAGGGCAGTGTGAGGGTCAGAAGGAGAAGAGGAAGACTAGGGTCTGATAAGGAGAGGCTGGATTGGGAGTCAGGCCAGGGTGGGCATCCAGACAAGATGGTGGAAACAAGGAAGAACATGGCAGGCCAGGGTCACCTAGAGCCCCCAGCACCCTCCAGGGCCCGTCACCCCTTCAATACAAATTGCCATCAACACCACAAGAGTGCAAAAGAAGCACATATTTTTTTAATTTTAAAAAATCAGTTAATTTTGGTCCATTATCTATTGGCCAAATGAGTTATTTCACAGGTTTGTCTTTGATGAACTGGCCTGCTTCAGGAAGGTGGGTCCAGCCTAGGGCTCTCCACTGCCTCTCCAGGACTGGGTCAGCCAAGCCTCCAGGGAGCACCCCGCCGTGTGTGCATGGACAAGTTCATGCTGCACAGAAGTACCCCTTCCCCTCCTTCCTCAGGGGAGGGGCCCCTATGACTGTGCACCCCTGTTTCCATCTCTGCTTGTGCCACAGTTACCTTTGATGTTCTTGCCGGTACTTTATCTGCTCT